GCGCCCCCTGCGCCCCTTTACTGCGCCGCCCGCCGCCGGTAAAGCGCGGTTTCACGGTCCCTGGACTGGAGTTTGTGCCCTGGTGTCCCTGCCCGCGGACCGGTTCCAGCCACGTGTCCCTTCACCCGCTCCACCACCGCACACTCACCCCCGCACAGCCATACCCGCAGCCAGTGGCCCGCGTCTGCTCTTCGCCTTCGATCAGTGCACCACTTCTATTTTTCGCTCACCAGATCTGCGCCACAAATGCACAGATCATCCTGTGCATCGCTTCTCCCCGCCTCGCGTTCACCACACCGGGTGCTCGCGAAGGCCAGCAGTGCGCGTATCGAGCAAGGGACGGGATGACGCAGGACCCCAGCAGGGGCCGTGTTTGGTAAGCCAAGTCACGAGGTCGAGAGGGTCATTAGCCGTCGAGAACCGCCCATGCCGTCCGCTCCCTCATATGATAGCTTCTCTCCAGCCATCAACCTCTGCGCGTCTACGGCGAACCCCGTCCACCTTCCATCGGCTCCGAACTCTCTCGGAGACGACTCGTGCATATGTTTCAGCAGAGCCGATATATCGCGCTTTCTTCTTCTGGAAAAGAAGAGCAGAGGGGCATGTGACCAGTCGTGCAGGTGGAGCGGAGCGTCGTTCCATCAACTCAAGAGCTCTCACCCATGACATCAGCCACTAAACCCCCGTAGTGCGACGCCGATAGCGCGATAGCATTAATGGTGCGATAAAGCAAACACCCGTAGCGAGCAGAGCGACATGGCACTAGTACACACGCTAACATGGGCTCCATAGAGGCAATTAAACTGTAGGTATCAATGGCGCAACTACACGCAACTGGCCTTCTGCTCCTCTGCACGGATTCACAGACGGGCGGGCATGCAACCGCTAGCGGCGTGGGCAGTCACCGAGCCCCGAGCGTGCATTAGCCGGTCGCAGCCGTTCAGAACCTTTCGAATGATCACACCGATCTCCGATACGATCGTTGTCCTTGGCTTGGCTGGCCGAGGAGCTTCGGGGCAACCGAAGTACGGAGCGCCTCCCCCGTCTCCCCGTCTCTACTGGCCCGTGGCTCTCCTAGCTTCCGTCTCACCCCGGATACCCCGAAGCACCCCAGCAGTCGAGAGTCGCGATCGCAGCGCGCAGAAAGTGTCCGTGTCATGCTGAGTGTCCGCGTCTGTGTGTCTGTATGACTCGGCATGACTCGGTGCGAGAGACATGCCGCAAGCCGTATATGCCGCGCATGCCGCATGCCGAGCCGGATTTCGGACCGTTGTGCCGTACATATCTTGCATGCTCAGCCTTCCTCGCATCCTCGAAGGACGAAGGACTGAGGGACTGAGAAATTAAGGGCTGGTAAGCGTTGGCGACGCAAACGAGCACAAGCAGCAGCATGGACATGTGGGCTGACGAGAGTCGGCTGCGCCGGACCGACACGCCCGAACGCCTGTTCGCTTCGTGATTCTTGTCACCTGTCTCAGCCATGACCGCCTCATAGTCGAGGCTGACTCACACGCGCACGTTTTCCTGCGTTCTGAACGTTCCATACTGTGCACTCTAACGAGGGGACAAGATTATTGGCCCAATGCCCCGGCTCCAGAGTTATGGATACATGGTCACGGTCCGCTGGCCCGGTGGCCGGTGCCGGGCCGTTCAGACTGTATCGTTCGGTACGCCGGACCGGACGCCCGAACCTCTGTCGCCAGCTCTGTATGCTCTACAAGCTGAACTATTGACACTGTGAGTGTCGCTCGTGCTGGCATCTCGTTGTGGCCTCCACACGGCCAGAGAGCTGAAGTACAAGAACTCAACCCCTCCCCGACCTCGACGCAACACACCGACGTGCCGAGGATACCGAGACCGAAGACGGACGATGCCGGATACCGAGTTCTGCGCAATGCTTAGCTCAGCTGGCGGATAGCTTGCAAAAGTGCGAAGTGCGCTCGTGGGCGGCAATCGCTACTCCTGCTCGAGCTCTACATGAACACTGTAAGACTGTCGCAACGCGATCGTGTCCTTACGTGTGCGCTATGGGACGGCGCCAAGCAGATGGAGGGCGAGGATGTGCCCGATAACAGAACCCCTGTTCCTCATCGGCTCGCCGGAGGGAGCGTGCAAAAGACCAGCGGGGTTGTTTCCGGGGCGGACACTGACCCCGGGATGGCCGTTGCTTTGGACCTGACGTCTTACTGAGGTGATGACCGGTGCGACGCCGAAAGAGCATACGGGAGAGCACGGGAGAGCACGAGGTGCACAGCACCGAGCCGACCCAGCGCCGAGCACCCGATTCCGACGGAACGCACCCGAGTCATATCAACCTCGTTCCGCCACACCTCCGAGTCAGTCCGCTCCCCACCAAAGCCTTGAAGTTCGCACGCTTCGCCTTGTCTCTGTCCCTTGTCGCCGCTGCGCCGGGGACATCGCAACCCGCCCAACTCGGCCAACTCGGCCAACTCGCTCAGCTCGCACAGCTCGCTCAGCCAGCGCCGCCGGCCTCGCCTGCCTCCCCTGCGCCCGTTGGCAGTACCTCCAGCGCTCCAGGGAGTGCGTCGAACGAAACCCCGTTCCCAAACGCAGGGACGTACAAGGCCACCGTCGAGCGGCTGTTCCCCGACCTCAGCACGGCGTACACTGCCACCTTCCTCAGGACGTTTACCAGCTTTACGAACCGGGCTGCATACTCTGAGCATGGTATTGAGGCGCAGTGCTTCCTGCGCGGGGTGATCGAAGAAGTGCGTGCGTCCCTACGTCTCCGTCCTCCATCCCTCACCAGACTGCCGTGTCCGGCTCCGTCACTGTGCTCGATCTCAGCTGACGGCTCAGGCAGCCCCTGGCCACAATGTGCATGTAGAGGAGCTCGACTGTGGCGAGCTGCAGCGGAGTCTCGTCGTGCGCTTCCTCACCTCCATCTTCCCCGTGAGTGACGGCGTCACGATCCTGGGTGCCCGACGTCCCCGCCCCGGGCGCCGAGGACTACGGGAGCGGCGTCGCGTCCCTGCTCGACGCACTGCGCGTCCCCGCGCTGCACCGCTATGTACCGGTGCGTCGGCTAGAGTTCCACTTCTACGCCGCCGAAGAGGACGGCCGTACGAGCCCTTGCGGGAGAGTATCAAGAGACAGGAGTGGACGTCCGCGCCATGTTGAATCTGGACATGACGGCGTATTGCCCCGACGAGGGGAACGTGACCCTCGCGGTGAGTACGGCCCGCGCGCCCGCACCGAGGGGCTTGACGCAGTGGACGCAGGGGGCCATCGCAGCCTATCGTGAGCGACCCCATGTTTAAACCGGATTGTGCAACTCCGACTCGCAATCGCGATATCACACACCGACCCCGCTGACCCCAGTCCCCGGCGAGCACCAGGTCACGGCTCGCGATGTGGAGAGCGACCACGTCTCCTTCTCCGACGCCGGGTACGTCGCCACGACACTCGGGGACGGCCCGCCGCGCAACCGCCGCGCAACCACGGCCTCGCCCCGCCCGTCGGCACCATGCACAAGGCGACGGATACGCTGGATCAAGGCACATACGGCGGTTCTCGCGCCTCGCCGTCGCGTTTGCGGTCGAGATAACTTCGTTTGGGGGCTATGGGGGCTGCCGTGAGACGCGCGGCTATTTGGTCTCTGCAGGCACACCGTCCACGCTACTGCACATGCCACTGCGTCTCCTTTGTTCCGCATCGTATCACCCGTAGAGAGTGGGACGGCACACAAATCAGCCACCGAAGCGAGCCGGTGCCCGAGTCCGACACACCCACCCGTGTGCCCTGTGTCCGCGTAAGTCGGCCACGGCACGCCAACAGTTTGTGCATGTACAACAACAAGCCTCGCAGGAGACGACGCTGTCTGTGGTCAGAGGCTGAGTAGTTCTGCCAAGTTAGTATGCATGGAGTGAGTTGAGTGGATCGGAGCATGGCATGGTCCGAAGTCAAGGTTGCTGGCGGCGGTGGCCGTTGAAGACGGGGAGGGGAGATTGCGGAGGCCCTCGGTAAGAGGTGGAGGTTGTCTGTCGATCACTGAAGGCTGTGGTGGAGGAGACCCGTGCGAATTCACCCGATGACATAAAGTCGCTTGAGTGATTTGATTAGGAATATGGAAGGATGATTAGGAGTGAAAAGGTCCCGCTAATGAATCCCAGTGTCGAAGGGTTAATCCGGCTAATTGAAGTGACGTTCCTCCGGGTGTTGCGGCAATGGGCTAATGAGAATGCTCCCGTTCGGCTATGATGGCTTTATGACTCGCGACTCGTCTCTCACTCACTCACTCACTCACACTCCAGTCACAGCCCACGCTCTCTGCTCTCACCGCACCACTGTGACCATCCCATCTCATCTATCCATCCTCCTCATCCACACCCTCATACATCAATCACAACACAACACAACACACAACACAGCCGACATCTGAACTTTGGCCCCACACCCCTGATTCCACATCGCTCCTGACGTCGACCGGTCAACCCCACACCACTTGACTCCCGTCTCCTAGGCGCACGTCTCACACCCCGCGGACAGGACAGCCAACATGGCCACAAAGTTCGCAATCACCCCACAGCTGTGGGACAAGATTCACCACTGGGCTTCCTTCCCGCCCACAGGTGGTGAGTACTCTCCTTCCTATTGCTCGAGGGGCAGACCCGCAACGCAGGGAGCCCCGGAACACAAGCCGCCGTGACTCCACCCGGCGCAAAGCACCGCGATGCCCTCTGGCCCCAGTGCATGCGCGCGGCGATCGCACACATGATCGTCGGAAACGGTAGTGTGCTTCTGAGGCTTCTTTGCCGGATCCTGGGGCTCCTCGTTGTGTGGAGCCAGTGTGCGACATCCACATTACACAACTCGTGTGACACCCTCGCAACCTTGTTGACTGACGCCAGTCTCTCTCCAGCAGCTCGTCATGTTCGGCGAGCGCCCCTCGCAGGGCACGCTGCTCAAGGCGGCCCAGTTCCTGCAGGAGGAGCTGCCGATCCGTCTCTCGACGCTCTCTGCTCTCACCGCACCACTGTGACCATCCCATCTCATCTATCCATCCTCCTCATCCACACCCTCATACATCAATCACAACACAACACAACACACAACACAGCCGACATCTGAACTTTGGCCCCACACCCCTGATTCCACATCGCTCCTGACGTCGACCGGTCAACCCCACACCACTTGACTCCCGTCTCCTAGGCGCACGTCTCACACCCCGCGGACAGGACAGCCAACATGGCCACAAAGTTCGCAATCACCCCACAGCTGTGGGACAAGATTCACCACTGGGCTTCCTTCCCGCCCACAGGTGGTGAGTACTCTCCTTCCTATTGCTCGAGGGGCAGACCCGCAACGCAGGGAGCCCCGGAACACAAGCCGCCGTGACTCCACCCGGCGCAAAGCACCGCGATGCCCTCTGGCCCCAGTGCATGCGCGCGGCGATCGCACACATGATCGTACGGAAACGGTAGTGTGCTTCTGAGGCTTCTTTGCCGGATCCTGGGGCTCCTCGTTGTGTGGAGCCAGTGTGCGACATCCACATTACACAACTCGTGTGACACCCTCGCAACCTTGTTGACTGACGCCAGTCTCTCTCCAGCAGCTCGTCATGTTCGGCGAGCGCCCCTCGCAGGGCACGCTGCTCAAGGCGGCCCAGTTCCTGCAGGAGGAGCTGCCGATCCGTCTCTCGCACCGCGTCGTCGAGCTCGAGTCGCTCCCGGACGGCCTGAGCAAGATGCCGAGCATAAATCGCGTCAAGGAGTGGTATGCCCAGAGTTTCGAGGTAAGCTTGGAATCTCGGCGTTGAGCTGACCCGGCGCAGGAGCTCATCACGTTCCCGAAACCGAAACTGCCCGCCGACATTGAGGAGATTCTTAGGATGCCCCCTTCCCAGTGAGTTCGCCGAAGAGAAGATGGACAGCATATGCTGACGCCTAGAGCAACGACGTTCCCGACCGCGGTTGCGAACCCGTCCCTGGACCCGCTTATGAACGAGGGCGCGATCTCGGGCTCGCGTATCAACTACTCGGATACGAAGCGCGGTAGGCATCACTCGATTGTGAACGGCGGCGTGAGGATGCGCATCCCCATCGAGAGAATGTACTTCTCGCCGCCGCCCGTCAACGTCGTGTACCCGCCCGAGGTGCACGACTACAACGAGAACTTTACGCGTGTGCTGCAGACGATCAAGAAGCGCCACGACCCGACTGTGACGAGCGTCGCGCAGGGCGTGCTCGAGTGGAAGAGGAAACAGAAGGCAGGACGCATTGGTCAGAACATCCAGGAGTGGCTCGACAGGTTCTATCTCTCGCGTATCGGTATCCGCGCCCTGATCGGACAGCGTGAGTCAGCCCCCTTGCCGGATAGATTGCTGACTGTTTAGATGTCGCGCTCAACACGCTGAAGCCGCACCCGGACTATGTCGGCATAATTTGTACACGCGCCAACGTCCACGACATTTGCCACGAGGCGATTGAGAACGCGCGCTACGTGTGCGAGGAGCACTTTGGACTGTTCAAGGGCCCGCCCATCCAGCTGCTGTGTCCACGCGACCTGACGTTCCCCTACATCCCCGGTCATCTGTGAGTCATCCTCTTCTTTCTGTTCTCTGACTCCAGGTCGCACATCGTGTTTGAGCTGCTGAAGAACTCCCTCCGTGCCGTGGTGGAGCGCTACGGCGTCGACAACGAAGACCAGTTCCCGCCCGTCAAGGTGATCGTCGTCGAGGGCGGTGAGGATATCACGATCAAGATCAGCGACGAGGGCGGCGGCATCCCGCGCAGCGCGCTGCCCATGATCTGGACGTACCTGTACACGACGATGAGCGACGAGGGTCTCGAGGACACGATCCAGGAGGGCATCCAGGGCCACACGGTGCCGATGGCCGGATTCGGATACGGCCTGCCCCTCTCGCGCCTGTATGCGCGATACTTTGGCGGCGACCTGCGCCTGATCTCGATGGAGGGACACGGCACCGACGTCTACATCTCGCTCAACAAGCTGTCGTCGTCGCGCGAGCCGCTCCCTTGACACGCGGCCTGGGCCAAGGACATTGGCCCAGAGTGGGACTACGAGTGGGAGGGGTAAAGGCTGCGAGTGGGGCGTGAGGCGAGGCTGAGCGCCAACCACTCCTGGAGCGCACTTTTCGATCGGACTGAACGAATGTGCGAATCGGACCTAGTCGAAACATCCCGCACCGCAGCAGCGGGCACCCCCATCCCCCAGCGAGCGGGTAACAACCCCGCCATTTCACTATGCTGTATGTAGTGTAGCAGGCGCAGGCAGGAGCGAGCAGGTGCAAGGTGTAGCAATGTCAGGTTGTGAGGGTTGTGTAGGCAGTACCAGTACCAGTTACCACCAGTAGTTTTATGAAAGCATCGCAAAATTGTCAGCACGTTAGTTGGTCTCAGACAGCGGTTCGATGGGAGATGTGAGCAACCGAGACGTTGTAAGTAGGGGATGAGGTCTGGCGTGGAGTCAGCCCTGTGTTCCCTCGTGCATCGAACAAGAGTGCATCGAGATCTCAAAGTTGGATCCTAGGCCACGCGCCTCAGTCTCAGTCTTCGCCGGTTCAATATGACAAAGCGCTCTCCGCTGTCCGAGTGCGTGCTGCGGGGTGTTGCGGGAGTCTGAGGACCGGGTACAGCGACCAGCCAAGGCTGAGAGGTGGGAGGTGAGGGTCGCCACCTAGTCGTATTGAAGTCAGGATCAAGACTGGGCATACGTCGGGGCCTCGCACCGACGTACAAGTGCACTTGGTTCTCAGCCCTATCCGCGCATCCGAATAATCTTGAGTTCCATTATAAGCGGCCAAATAGGCATGCTCGATCCATGTCGTCATCTCGAGTGATCGTCCAGAAGAGCCCTGCTGCAAGTGATTGGGGCAGAGGTCAGATATACCAATGCCAATGCCTTGCTTGACTTGTCCGGCACCTTTAAAAGAGCCGCTGCATGCGCGGAAGATCACCGACGATGACGCTCTACGGTCGACAATCGACTTGCGCTGGACCGTGTAAATATCTTAATAATTCATCACCCCAATAAAAAAATATGGGTATTGTTCGCATTTCCAGCGAATTGCTGTTTGCAATTATTAGAAAGTCCCAAGTGGGACACAACGAGGACGGGAGTCCTCGGCATCTGTGACTTCACATAGCGATCAGGTTCACGTCACGCACACGAAGCACTGTAGGTCGTGCGGCAATATCTCTCGCACTCTCACCCTTACCAAAAATACTCGATTGTTCGCATTTTCAACTAAATGCTGCTAGTAATTATGATATGAGAGTGTCTGAACTGGACCGTGGAGGACGTGGGATGTATGTGTTTGTTGTCGTGCGAGCCTGCGTTTGGGAGTGGGACCAGAGTGGGGCTATTCTGAGAAACGGGCCAGGGTGTTGATAAGACCTCGTGCTCAACGTCGGGGAGTTTGCCGAATGTGGCGGGTATCATGTGCCGTTAGTGTGGCTAATGCTTTCCCAGCGCTTCTCCACTGTAATCCAGGGACCTCAGAATTGTATGGAGCAGCGTTTGGCGACGGGGACCTGTCATGCCCGCTGTATAGCATACGACTTGGTGTGAAAATGCGAGTGAGAGAGTGGATGGGTGGGCAAGCCGAGGAAAGTCAGAGACGCCCATGCAAGTGGGCTTCAGCTGTACTCCTGCGCTCTATCATCGTGTCCGCCTCTTTCCTCGTTACATTTCCACCAAAGGCAGGTCCACCCAGATCTCAAAGCAACCAAAATCCGGGCGCTGGGTTGGACAGGCATGCAACATTTTCCCGCCACTACCTCGCCGCCCTCACTGCCCTCGTTCTCACCGTCCTCACTGTCCCACTCCCCACCGGCTGTCGGCTCGCGCTCATGTCGCCCTTGAGTATCGTTCGTTTCCAATGATGCACTGATGTCTACCTGACGCCTACGGACGCCTACGGCACTTCTTTTTCATTTTGCATAGTGAACGCCAAGGCGCGGGAAGTTATCGAAAGGACGCGCTCCCAGGGAGTCGGGGGTCACCGTACCAGAACCGAGCCATCTCGCGGGTGCTTGCAAGGACTGCACAAGTCAAATATTGAGAGTGTTATTCATAGAGTGGTACCAATGTCCCATTCTTTTGCAGCGTATGATCATACAATAAGTGCATGAATGACATTCTGCAGCATCGTGCCGGCCGACTACAGGACGAACTGGGTGCGCATAGGCGGGGCCGCGGCGTTGTCACTCGCGCAATCTCCTTCCACAACAGAGGAAGAGCGCAAGGCCGAGTGCCGCCTTCAATCCCCTGGTATTGCATACGGGCGCAGCCTTTGATGCGACACTTTCATGCATACGAGTACCCCTGGAATCGTCGACCTAGCTTCGACGTCCCGAAGTGGTCTGGCCATGCAGACGGGGCGACAGACGACAAGCGTGCTACGATGAACAAAGACCGGTTGCGTCGCTCCGCGGGCCGGGCGGCAGCGGCGGGCGGGGGCGTGACGGCGGGGGCGAGAGCAATCGAGCGGGCGTGGCGACGGGCTGTGTTCTCGAGTCACGAGTGAGTCTCGGGCACGCTTTGCGCCGCTGCCTTTCATCTAGACCGCTTTGTCTCGGACCAGTTCGCGACCGGGCGTATCCTCGATTGTCATCATGCCTGCTTGGCCAAACTCTGCCCCGTTTTGCCCCGCTTGTGAGTACACATTTCAGATGGTCCCCGCATGCTCTATGCTTCAGGCCCCGGAGGATCTTCGTCCGCCACTGCTGCAGGTCTCATGGAGCAGTCTGGTTCCACACCAGACTTCAGCTGATCTCGCATCTCTCGCATCGCAGCGATGAAACACCTTCGCTTGGAATTGCGGGCTGAGGGCCATCGCTTGGCCTAACTCTCACACTGCGCACTACCCTGAGCACCGCCAAGCACAGGTCGCGGAACGTACGGCCCCGGACGCCATGACGTTGTGACACTGACGGTTTCACCTCGAAACGCTCAGATCTGGCAACTTCGCAGAAGCCTCAACTCTGACGACAGCCGCGTGGCTAGATCTGACGAGTCTCTCAGGCGTAGATATTAGCGTACCGCTTGTCTGGAGACGACAGCCTAGCTCTGCCGAGGAAGGAGCGGAACGTCGTCGTGTTCCCCAGGTATGCATTTCGACGCAGGCGAGACTTGTGCGCTGCGAGAGGATACTTGCCACAGTCGCATCAGGCTCCTGCTTGCTGCCAGTGCTGAGTCTAGAGGAAAGGAGGAGGCGAGAGCAGAGCTCGACGCCACCGTTGCAGACGAAAGAGCAGCTGGGACAGAGCTACCGTCGATCGACGCAGAAGTCGCGGGATGTGCCGCCAGGCCGAGGACGGCAGCGTCAGCGGCAAGCACCGCCGTGCTGTGATCGATCGATCGGCCGGAGCCACGTCTTCCGCGCACAATACGCTCTCCCTGCGGCGATCTCAGCAAAGGATCTACTTCCAAGCGACTACCGTTGGCCGAAGGCGAAGTCGGTGCTTCAAGACGCGCAGTGAGTCCGGCGGTCAGTCACCCAGCCCGCGGCCGAGCCACCTCGCTCAAGTCTCGGAAACCTCGTCATCGCGGTGTATCGGACGAATAGGGGTTCGCGCTGCGTTTCAGCCTGCCTCGAGATGCAGGAGGGAGGCTGCCGTCTGACGCTTGCTCGCTGGCATCGCTGGCGTCACTGGACGATCCTCAGAACGCAGCAACGTTGAGACGGGACAAGGGCAGGTTGAAACGCCGGCGCGCTCGGGGCCGAGTGGCGAGCGGTGCTCCACCCTGGCATCGCGCAAGACATTCTGTGAGTTGAATGACGCATGAAACGAGACTTGTGCATGCCGAGTCGCGGCGATTCCGGAGCCAGCTACCAGCTACCAGGTGGGCGTCACACGCTTCATCGCTCGTGACACCGGACACAGGGGTTAGCAGATCACAGATCTGCGCGTGTCAAGTCGAGACCTGTCGACGCTCGTCAGTGCGTCACCGCGTCAGTGCCAGAGAGAACGTCAGATCTGCGCAGCCTATCAAACACCGCGTCAAACATGATACACATGCGTCAGCGCATCCTCAACATCAGCCGCTCAGCCGCTCAAACCGCTCACACACGGCCGAGACCCGCATTCCAGACTCCCCAGACTCCCCCCCCCTGCTGCATCAAATTCGCCGGACTCGGCGGATCGCCACGACGCCGCGATCCAGTTTCACTGCGCTGCCGTTCTCGCCCCCTCGTTCCGGTCTCCGAGGGCGAGCACGTCGCTCGGCGCACCCGAGCGGGGGCAGGCCATTCCACCCGTGTTCCGGCTGCGTATCTCTTTCCTCACTTCTGGGCATCGGGCCTCGGGCCTCGGGCTGCGTAAGTATTTCTCAGAGATACGCTCGCAGTCAGAGATACGCTTGCGAGCGTATACGTATGCGAACGTTGCTTGATATGCTCGTCGAGCGATATGTTGATACTGGGCTTGCGTAGATGGTCAAGGATGGAAAAGATACGGGATCTAGAGCGCAGATAGGAGATAGCGAGCATGTGTGCGATTCGCCACGAGATGCTAGTACTACTGCGCGGGCGTGGGAGACCTCCCAACTCGCAAGCTCGCGTCAGCCGAACCTCTCCTCCTCTGTGGCGTAAACCACGTTAAGGGCGGCAGGGGCTGCAAGGGCTGGGAGCACGTCACCCCACCCCGCGCTGCCCCGCATCCCTCTGGGTCCTCTGGGTTCACCGCGGCGAGCCCCTCGCAAAGGCGTATCGCCCGCGTCGTATAACATCAGCAACGGCCAACCCTGAGCAAATGGTTGGACCTTTTTCCGTCCTGATTTCGAAGCTTGTTTTTAACAATCGCCGAATTCCGTCGGACAACCCCCTCCTGCATCTCCTGATGGTCACATGCTGCAGATCGTGTGCCTGGCCCTTCACCTTTGCGCTTGAGCTTGAGATCTCGTCAGCGACGTGGGGTTTCGCAATGTTGGTTCACCCGTTGCTTTTTCTGTACCAACTTGTGACACTTGTGGATCTGTTTTCGTCCTGCATGCACATGCATGATATGAAGTCACAG